GTATCTGCGGGGATAGTCACATAGGCAGAGCCAATGTAACACTGAGTTCCCGAATAAAGGAGCATGTACTAAAATGGGTTCAATGCGGGATTATTCAGCGAGCAAGCCCGAATCGGACTACGTGTGCGTGCAGACCGCCAGCATCTTCGATGGGTAGGCACTTATTAACATCGGGTCACCGAATTGAGGTCAAAAAGGCGTTTAGAATCCTGCTTTGCCATACCAATTCCTGGCTCTTCCGTTTTGCCGAGGCTATTGCCATTAAGCGGACTAAGCTAGTGCTTTGTGTTCAAAAGAAGAAGTAGAAGGAAGACCCTCTTTCGTTTGTTTGTACGTATGTCTGTACCCACAAACTGTTATTTAAAATTACCGGTTATCGTTATCGGCATTGATGAGACGATACGAAATGCATGCATTTGTCGAACTTCGTCTTCTAATTGTGCTTTTCAAGTTACTAAAGGGAACTAACTGTTTTAAATTTCGTTTGTACTTATCATCCTCGCGTTGGTGACTGTATCAGACATGGCTTACTCGCGCTGTCAATGGCGTTGCTACATTCGGCTTTTGCGTGTAGCTGTCATAATTCCATCCCGGTCTATTTTAAGCGCTTCTTAACCTAATTGTCGTACTCTGTCTCTACGTGTTCTACCCTGCTTTTCTCATCGTTGTGATTTAGGATTACTCTACAGATGTGAATCGTTGCAAATGGATCCACCGCCCCCCCCCCCGAGCCTCGGATAATGCCTGTTTCCAACTGAACTGACATGAACAGGACCGCGTCCTTGTATCTTTCATTGTGCTTCTGACCGATACACAAGCTTTTTATCGTCTGCACCGTAAGGTCACACGGTGCGTATTAATCCCTTCCGTCGGCTTAGACATCACGTTACTCGGTTACTCTGAAAAATGTACTGGTCCATTAATTTTGCTCGTTGTTCTTCGATGATGAGAACCTGGAGGGATCCCATCTAATTCCTGCAGCGGCACTTTGATAATGCGTGAGGGATGTATCCAAATGTGCACTGGCGCGCAGTCGGTTGGCCGTCACTGTCTGCTTGGCTTTTAATTCAAAAGATCACCTTAAATTGGCCTCCACTCACTTGTCAGCATTTCCACCCCAGCTGTTCAGGAGCATTGCGATCGCAGTCTTATGTTGGAGGTAGTGTATAAACGCCATAGGACTTCGTTGTAAACTTGGGGAGAGTTCCCGTAGAATTCCGCGTAACGCCGGAGAGCCACAGTGAGCAGATTTCATCCCATTAAGTGATATCTTCGATATTCTCTCCAAAGATAAACTCTGCGGCTGTTTCAATCAAAGCTATCTTTCGGCCCGAGGGTGATGACCATCGTGGACCATCTGTTCGCTCGATGCTATCCCAACATTTGATAGCCTGCAGCTGTATGGATGCTTCAACCTTTTCCCACACGGGAGGTAGCAACTCACTGATTCAGCTTCCATGACGATTTATTATTCGATATTCTACTTGTGAGTAGTTCGGAATTGCTGACAATAATACTAATCCTCTATCGAGTGTTCAAGCGACTGGTTTGGTGTGGCCGCATAGTACAGGGTGTTTTACCAATTATGTCAGAGGCTAGGAGCGGCTACACTCAGGTGCTGACGTACTCCGGCACGCTGAATTGCTAATTGTCCAATGGCGCAAATCGCTTTGCCGAACGTGTATCCGCAGGAGTGACATGGGGCACAGAGGCGGGACATGTGTGTCTACGATCGCAGGGAACACAGAGCCGTTCGGCTGTAAGAAGTGAACGTTAGCCAAACACCACAGTCGAACTCGATGTGTCATGCTTCGATCGATTGGTACTCGGCTTTCACGCAGGTAGTTATTGGCTCGCTGTCCTGGCAATTGAGAAGAACAGCCTAGCCGTATTGCTTTCGCAATACATGGCAGAAGACAATCACCACAAAAGGTGTTATCGCCTCATGACTGGCTTCCAACAAACCCGTGAGCTTTTATTAGACTGTTTTCGCTGCTAAAGGGAATCATACTACCAGGAGCACTTTTTAAGGTTACAGTCTTGTTCGCTTTACCATTTCTATTGCGTGTGTGCTACAGCTGAAAATTCACCCTTCATGGGTGCATAAAAGCGAATTATTGACTTGCCTTGACAGTGCTCTTAGATTTCAGTCTGCCCCTACGCACTGGTGGCACCATTAGACAGCACACCAATTTAGTCATGAATGCAATTATTACCCTCACAGTCAGACAATTGCTAGTTGTACAAATTGTTCGGTGTTTGGCTAGCATTAACTTCTTCTCACAGCCGAACGGTATGTGTTCCGTTGGCCTTGCCCTATGGTCGAAGCATGACACGTCGATTTCGACTGTGGTGTTTGGCTAACATTCACTTCTTACAGCCGAACGGCTCTGTGTTCCCTGCGATCGTAGACACACATGTCCCGCCTCCGTGCCCCAAGTCACTCCTGCGGACACACGTTCGGCAAAGCGATTTGTGCCATTGGACACAGCAGTTCAGCGTGCCGGAGTAAATAAATAAATAGTTTATTCTCGTCATTGCGCGGCACACCATCAAGAGCGTGATCATGGTATTACAGACATGTATGATCGGCAATTGCACAAATTAGTACATTTTGACAAATAGCATAGGAATTTATGTGTGTGTTGACATGTAAAACTATGTTTAACTGTGTATTTGGAAGGGGACATGTTGTGTGATTAGATAAATGTGACTCTGTGGGTTTTTGTTCGTTGTGTTCGACATCAAAGGGGGGAATCAATGGAACGATTTGAATCGGATGACGTTCGTGATGTGTGAATGATCCTCCGGAAAAGGGAAGAGGCAGTGACTTTAGTTAGTGGCGAGTCACATCCGCCACGTCACAGTGTTGTTAAACGGATACCTGTGGTTTTTTATAGGGAGAACGCTTGCCAAGCGAAATCCCACCACATCCTGGAACACTGCCGCCGAACCATTTGCTGGAACGGGATTTACCCGAACCACCCAGCTGGCACCACGAGGAGGTTGTTCGGCTAGCCAGCACCTGAGTGCAGCTGTTCCTAGCTTTGGGCGTAAATAATAAAACACCCTGTACTCAGCCGAGCTGCCGGACCGAACCCAGATGAGCCACCACCGTCTGTGTAATTGCGGAATGAATTCATACGATGCATCTGTGCTAATGCGCCTCCGTGGTACCAGTTCACCTCGGATTTCCTCTATGTTGTGTAACCTCATCATGCTTTGTTGTGCAACCGGCATTTCTGAAACGGCTGACCGACTGAAATGTCTTTCGCAGCGTTCCAGTCGACTTTCAGTCCCACCTGTTCGACTGTGGGTAAATCAACTACCTTTTTCAACTATTGTATTGTGAACAGTGGCAACACATGGACCGTACTTTGAACGGGTCAAGGCCATTCTGGACTATTCCCACTGCTTTTCCCTTGTTCACCTCACGGCTCTGAGACAGGGCGACTCTTTAGATCGGCTGTTTTGACTTTAAGATAATAAGCAGACGATATTTGCATCTTATACATGTTACGTGGTGAAGGTGGATTCCGTCTATACGTCGTCCACGTCAGACCTATGCGACGTCTTTGCTTCATTTTGTATGCCTAATACTTTCAGGGTAAATTTGAACCAATGACAATTTTCTAAATCAGAGCATATAGTCACTATGCTAACAGTGCCAATAAAACTGGGCATCTGGACGTTTCTCTTGATGATTCACATGGTGATGTATCGCACATTTGGCTTCTTACGCACGAATGAACACATACAACCATGTGTGTGTGCAGTCTCTGGAGAGATTCGTTGATAACTGCATACGTGCTCATTCTTCCCAAGGACAGTGTACTTCCTACGCGTTCCCAATATTCCCAACACAGGGAATCAGTGATGACCCGGGGCGTGTTTCGGAGATATTGCTACTGCTGCTGCTTGAAATAGGTCATCTGCTACTGCTAACTGCTTACCAAGTTGACAGTTGCTGACCACGGAAGCCAATTCGAGTAGACGTTTCCCGGAAGCAGAACATCATCATGTAGGACTTGAAATACCTGGCTCAGCAAAGCATATGGTGATGCTTGTAGACCGTTTTCAAGGGCCCAACGATCACATGGGCGCGAACTGTACACACATAGCTTTGCGTTGTGTGTATTTATGAATGGGTGGAGAAAGCAACAGTCCCACTGCCGATGGAATCCACACCATATGCCAACTCTAGCGATGGTGCGTTTTTTACGGCCAATCTTGTCCTCGTTCCGTCTGCGCACATGCTAATCGAATCCATTTGGGTGTCATTCACTGCGCTCGCTGGGCACTGGCACTAATATTTCCACCAAAGATGACCATCCGGCCTCGCGAATGTGCATTAACTTGCTCGGCGTATATAACACGGCAAGACCTCGAGCTCAGAAACCTATTATATAGTGTGCTCTTATCTTTCGATTACGACCAAACGGAGTTTTGTACTTATTTCGTTTGAGTTAAGGTTTGAAAGAGCCACGGTTATTACACGATCAATTTCTTTTCACGTCTTGACTTCCATTTTTCATCTAATATGTGTGGATACGCCGAGAATGGTACTCGATAGAATATAGCTCTGATCGCATCAAAGGTGGTACTACGTGAAGAATATGCTGTAGGCTAGGTGCTCGGTTTGCACTTTTCTTCGTCTCCATGTGGACTTTGACGCATCTGGTGGGCACGGGGTTGTGAGTGAATAGAAATAGAACAGGATGGCGTAGTTTTACACTCGATCGTCCTTGTATCTTACCATCGCCCATAGTGCCCATTTACTGCTGGGCTTCAGGGACATTCATTGAAGCATCTCTTCGTACCGTGGTATTTTTTTCTTTGTTCGGCTTTCATCATAAGGACCCAAATAAGACGGTTTTTCAAAGGCTTTCGATCACATTGCTTCTTCATGTCTTTGTATTAACAAATTGTTGTCATGGACACCTCGTATAACACGTCGCACATCACACATCCGTTCTTCATTCACTCTCTCTCCGCAACAGGCACACATCAGTGGTCTTGTCGCATGCGGATTGCATCCGTCTCCCTTCGAGTACTGTGACGTCGTAACGACAACAACGCATAAGACACTTCGTGGTCCACGCGCTGCCCTAATCTTCTACCGTAAATTGTCTCGTTCCAAACCGATCGCGAACAAGAAGCAGGTAAGCATTTCGTAGCTCATTTGTTCCGAGGTACCATGGACACTGGTGTTTTGGTTATCTCCTACATCGGCTCCTCCGAATTAATCTCGCCTTCGAAACCTCCTGTCGTTTCATCATCTACCTCTGCCGAATATACATTTGTTGCTGAACTGCAGTTAAGATCATTGGTGACAACCAAGTCCTTTGGTGTCTTCCGTTCTAGTTAGACAGTTGCCCCTCACTTTTTTTAACTACCTATCACTGATGTGAAATAGATCGTTATCGGGACGCCTGAGTTCAGCATATAAATTGATTCCTGTCTTCCTCGGTGGCGTCACAATTCGCCTGCGTTTTCTCACTAGGCTGTTGGGGACTTGTAATGTACCACTGAAGTTGACATCCACTAGACCGACTCCAGGACCTTCCACGCGGGCCTACTGACACGGAATTCGCTGTTTCACTGCGTAAGGGTTCGAACTGTGATCTGTTATTATTCCTTATGCGATATTACTGTCTCATCGCACGCGAAAGATGTCTTTTGACTAGAGGACATCTGTGCCCTACTTAAAATACATGATGATTGAAGAACACTTTATCACGTCGTTTTCGCTGCTGTCGCACTTTGGTTTTCCTGCAGTCACTTATCGTAGAATCGCTTCTTTAAAGTGTTACTCCAACCAGGTATCTACATGTGTAGATCAAATGGTTCTCGACCGGACATAGACAGAAGCCAGGTAGACAAGTCATCATCAAATCAAAATCAACAACAGCAGTACATCAGTCATTTGAACTGATTCTTCGCTGCCATCCAACCATGATGACTTATGTAGTGAAGGATAATAAGAGCGACAATAAGAGGGAGAGAAGGGGGACTTACCTGAAAACCTTAATACCCTAAGCAAACATTCAAGATCAAGGCACCTACACCTTATGCTAACGACATACCGTCACAAATAGCTGGCTATTGTGCAAAGATTAGGCGGCATTGTCGAGACAGATTACTTGCGGCTTTCACTACTCCGCGTTATTTTCAGCCATTACCCCTCAGATAAGTCAGCACCAAACAGACTTTAAACAGGCAATCCGACTAGTAGACGCAACAGATGCGCCACTAGTGTCGGTTGCGAGCCATGTCCTGTAAAGTCTCGAGCTAAACACAAGACGAGTCTCGTGGACCCCAGCCCAGAAGGCGAGACGGACCAGCAGCATCCAGTTTGGTCGTCAGTGACTTCATTTCCCGCTACCAAGTGAACTTTCGTCCACCTCGAGCCTTGCGCCACCCTGCACCTGGCACACTAAACAAGGCTGTCCTAATTAAGCGGTGACCAGACATGCGTAGCACGTGCCCGAGCCATCGCAACTTATTCAGTGCTATCTATTGTTCTAGGGAGCTAGCATGATTATCATTACCTAGTACTCGCTACGCACCTCATCGTTGCGGACACGCTGGTGCCATCCGACACTAGCAATGCTTCGCAGACAACGATGATCAAAGACTTGAAGGTGCCTCAGATCTTCAGACTGAAGGTGCCAAGTTTTACTACTACAAAGCAGGATGGCCCTCACTGTGGCCTCTATCCTGACATCCCGTAAGGGAACACCCCATGATGGCGTCCACTGCAAAATTGAACAAAAACGGCAAAATCGGACAACCCTGACAAATTGCACTAGTCGGAAATCTATCCGACATGTCCCCGTAGATCCTGTCGCCGCCTGTAGTGTTCGAGTCTAGAGCACGTGTTATGTTCACATATTACGTTGGAACAAATTTTCGCGCAACTATCTCGAGCCGAATGGATCGATCGACTGATCGAACGCACTCTTGAAATCGAGTAACATAGCTATTGTTGGTCTGCGTTATGCGTGGCGCTGCTGTAGCACCTGATGCAGTCATCTAGATACAGCCACGTCCTGAGCGGAAATCTGTCTGCTCTACCCCAATCCGACACTTCCGTTCCACCGTGAGGCGACGAACGAGAATCGAGGCCAGTAATTTTGTTACAACTGATGTTTGGCTAATAACAATGTCGTTAACACGGCCAATGCAACCACCCTACTTGTATATAATCGATTCATTCCAGTTAGCCGAGACACTTCTTTCCAGATATGTTCGAATAGGGAGGTCATGCTTTGCAGAGGACCTCACCTCCATCCTTAAATAGTACAGATGGGAGGGAGTCCGGACCGGAAGCAAGAAAACGATTGAGAACTGTGATCACCTTTCGGACCTTAGTCTCTGATGGAGCCTCTAAACTAACCGTCCATGGCTCATCCTGCATCACCTGAGTAAATCCTGGAGCAGATGGCCAACTGAACTGATCTCGAGCCATACGGTGCTCCTTATTGTGTATCAGTGCACCCACTGTATCTCTGATTGTCTCACCGACGCCTGGCATCCTGGGACCAGTGGTGCGTATTAGGTGGAAGAGCTTGCGGTAATTGCCTACTATTCCTGTTTCCTCCATCTCTTAGGTCCGACTGGTTCACCAGCCTTCCTTGTCAGCACATAGGCTCCGCTTTATTTGTGCCTAATAGTCCGTTTGGTCACATTATGCTCAGATCCAACCTGGAGGTTTCTTCTGGAATCCAACAGGTTCACCGACCCCTCGGATATCCAGTGACTGGTGCGGTGACGATTGATAGTGCCGCAAGCAGATGCTCCTGCGTCGCGTAGAGCGGCCGAAATTCTATTCCACTGAAGCTCAGTGTCATTAGGACAAGAGCGAAGTACTATACTAAGTGCGTCTTGATAGGCTGAGACAATTTCTCAGCTGCCAATCGGGGGAGACGCTTGGTGCGCCTCCCGGTAAAGTTCATTTACAAACGATAGCGTGCTAAGGCATGGTCAGAGTTAACGCAAGTATTCCAGTGCAAGCGTCGATCCAGTGTGGAACCACCCTACCTGTAACGTATGGCAATGTGATCAATTTGGGTCCATCGCTGGCCAACTACAGGAGGACGCCAAGTGGCATTTCGACGCCCATGTCTAAAAGCACTGGTACTAAGAAACAATTGGTGCTCCGCACACAGTTGCAGCAGACGCTCGCCGTTGTCTGTCCGTTCGGAGTTAAGCCCCTAATTACCACCCAGCTGAGCTTCTGAAGAGCTCAGACACCCTACTTGTGCGTTCATATCCTCTGCAAGTACTCTAATATCTGAACTGGTAGCACTGCGTACTAGCGCGTTCAGTTCGTGATAGAATATGTCCTTGACAGCATTAGAACTGCAATCGGTGGGAGCATAATCGGAAACCACAAACAGCGTTTTGAACTAGTTCGTGAGTCAACCTTAGCTGATATCGTCAAACGGGCTGCATATAAACGGCTATTCACCGGAATTCAATCAACCAACGATCGCTCAGCCTTGGAGCTTAGAATGATACCTACACCAGCTTGACCCGTGAGTGCTGCATCAACGTCTCCGGATGCGTGCAACGAATAGCGAGACGACAAGACAGGTTCAGTTAGTACAACAACACCATTAGGGTCATTGACCCTAGTTTCGGATATAACACACATCAATACCCAGTGTGTCCAACGTGCGTGCGAGTGCAGCCTGTTGATCGATTTTCTTAGCGTACGAACGTTGAATGCAGCCAGGGAAACGGAACAGCGTGGCTTTATAAGGGACTGTTGCTGATAGGCGTCCGGTGGGTGTTGCGGGAAAGTGGCTGCAGATGGTTCTACTCCAGTGGCACTTCGATTGCTGTCAATTAAGCTGGGATTTATAGAAGCTAGATTGGTAATGGGAGTTGGAATGACAGTAAGAGAAATAGGTGGAAAAGGAAGAGGGGAGGCGCCAGCAATAGCATGTTTTCGCTTATCCGCCCTGCTGTATGCAGTAGATAAGGCGACCCTTGATAATCTGCGCGACGGCCGATGCAGGATGAAGTTCATGTTTGAAGAAAAAGTCATGGTTGTATGTAGGCTAGGATACTGCCAAGGCGCGCAGACTTAGACAGGAAGACGATTAAGGTCCTCAACCAAAGCCTTTGGCTGGAAAGCCTATCCGTAAGTCAGCGGGGAGGTGGCAATGATTTAGTGTTACAGATGTGGACGCCATCCCATTTTAAACCCCTAACCTGGAGTACCAGGAGACTGAGTTTGTCTGACCTCTAACCATTGACCAACCCTGGTAGGAGTAGCTCTCAGTGAGCCCGGAGGCACCACCCAGTATAGCTCAGTGGGTCAAGGAGTTACGCAAACCGTCGCACTACGGTAAGGTCCAGTCTCGTTGAGACGGATCTAAGTCCTACGTCACTGCTTTTTAACCTAATCTCCAATAACTTGTATTTACTTAGTCCATCGGTTTTCAAGCATTGCTATCCCAATGTGGAAGAAGCTCGAAGACTGTCTCACTAAAAATAGCTTTACAGCCCTGACCAATTCATCAGTATTGGCAAATCTGGGACCCCGGAGGTGAGATTTCGGTTAAGGGGTCAGATTATGCTGGATACTCGAGGTGTGCCAGCAATTCAGAGCCACAAATGGGTGTTTCTGATAAGGCAACTTGCTAAGTGTGAACGGAAGCCATATGATACAAAAGATGAACTCATGCTGCGAGCTTCCTTCTCTGTTTGCCTTGATTACTTCTTTCAGTTGGCCTAATACTCGCCTGTGATGGTCTGACTCCTCAGCACTAAGTCTACTGTGATTGCGTTTTCGTTGTCCCGGAAGACAGAGGCCATCACATTTCTCGCGAACACCACTTGACGGTACTTCTTTGGTGGAGGAGAATCGCTGTGTTTCTATCATCTACTTTGCATTTTTGACTCTGTTTCAAAGTGAGGAACCCAAGTTTCATTCTGGGTAACAAACCTCTTGATGAAACGGGTCAAAAATTGCCTCGAATTTTCCGGCCTGTTCAATTTCTGATCAAATGTCATCATTCTTGTCACCCATAGTGCAGTCAGCTTTCTCATCCTCAACATAATCGTTAAAACAGCATATAGTGAACCATAACTGATACTCTTAGTCATAGCTATCTGGGAACTATATGTCGTTCAGTAATTTGCATACACTTCATCATCAGCTTATTCGAGAATTTTGTGAGTTCAGATCCTGGGTCATTTGCAGTGCTCTGCCTGTCTGTCACAGCCCACATTTTATCAGTGGAATATAGAGGGCAGTTCTCACAATAGTGTAAACCACATCAGAATAGATTTCTTATGGCTTCATGCCCTTTTTCTTCAGATACTTGCTCACCACTCTTTCAAATTTGTCCATTTTTAGTAATTGAGCAACCAGAGTCTGTTCAATAGATCATCATGATATATAATAAGCATTGTGATATAACTTGATACTCGCACTGTTAAACGTAATGGTTTTACAAAGTATTTCTTGTGTGCTTTCCGGGCATTTACTTCCTAGCCGGGCGTAGGACCTCCTTAATCCACCCTTGTAAAAATACCTGACGCTGCGATGCATTCTAATGGCATTTTACCTTTGTCGCTTTGTTTAAACCCCGCTGTTCCGGTACACTGGCTTCAGGACGCACCGGCTGCAAACGGCGCCGCCACCGACTTTGAACGCCTCATCAACGAAGCTGTGTTTCCAGGCCTTCAAGGAGGTCCACATAACAACAGCATTGCAGCCATCGCTGTCGCTCTAAAGGAGGCATCTTCATCGGAGTTCAAAGTATATCAGCAGCAAGTACTGACCAATATGCATCAGTTCTGCACTTCACTGATGCAATACGGCTACAAGGTAGGGTTACCGCTTCCACATTCTGTCCTTGTTAGTGATATAGGGTGGAAATGCCAACGCGTTTTGGTGTAGACAGTTTTCCGTGTATCATAAAGATCACCACCAACATCACGTCGGTACTAATGTTATGTTACCATACAACTGTTCATTATGTATGTATAAATGTGCTATTTTATCAGAAATCCTCACACTCATTAGTGAAACAAATTATGAATTTACAAAATTCAGTCATGGAATTGAGGTTGTATTCTGAATTAAATCAAAGGAAAACAAGGTTCCAAAGTCCCCAGACAGGTTCGCATTTCATCGTCAACTTTCTGGGTGATATTTCTCATGCTGGAAATCCAAAATCACAGAACCATGAAGATGCAGAAGGCATAGAATTGTGACTGTAAGGTTCAAATTTCGGTCAACTAGCCAGAATTCTTCTAATATTTTCGAAGAATCTTTGACAGTAAAGCTTACTGTTTCTCCAAGTAATAAGTTGTTCTTTACCTGTTGTTGTTCTTCAAAATACGGACAAATTTATTAACCATTCATTTTCGTCAACTGAAATCAAAGGAAAGTAGGTTTCAATTGGGGTTTGAACTTCCTTAATAATACCTATAATTTCGTCAACAATTTTTTGGACTGATATTCATTAAAAGTCGGGAAGTGGTCAAAAATTTCTTCCATATTTTCATGGCGCTAATTTTTCTTTAAATGACTTCAATTTTGATGTTGATATGGCACTGTTTTCAGATAAATCATGAAATCTTGAACACAAGAAGTTCAACCTTTCAAAGAAGTCCGAGAGAAATTGAACTGAGGCCACCAAATCTTCTCATAAAATCCAAAAGGCTGTTTACCTTCAAAACTTTTACATTCGAAGGCCAACACACTGATGTGTTGTAACAAAATTTTCTACTAGTATTCCATTGCGTCACACAGTCGAGAGAAATTTCGTGATTTATAGTGTCGACTTTTACTGAAATCGACCACTTGGATGACTTGATTCGTGACAATCAACGTATCTGAAGTTAAAGGTTTTGAAACGAGTGATTCTACGTGCATCGTACAGTGGTCGCTTATAATAGTAGGATTTTCGGCGTACAGGTGTGATAAATCCTTTTTGGTTTCCAAATTTTGATGGACATTGTGTCTGCAAATATCAACGCAGTTTTTCAACAGCCCCGCATGTTTACATCTGGTTTACCCGGCAGACATGACTTTGGGCCCTCATTCTCCTTCATCCACTTTGTCTGTTCTTCCTGTTTCACAGTTAGTCACCGATGGTTCCGACACACACTTGTGTTTACTCGATCTTCGCCCAAACGGTTTGGACGGTGTACGTGTGGAGAAAGTGTTGGAACAGGTCGGAATCGCGGTGAACAAAAACACTTGCCCTGGGGACTTGAATGCACTTCGGTATGCGGATTTTTTCCACATCTGACTGACCCCTTATATCGCGCGCGTTGTCATTCCATGTGTAATATGCATGTTACCCCCGTCGCCTCTATGTTCGTTTACCGATTGACTGTTCCGCTTACTGTTCCTTCCTTATTTTTGTTAGTGTTCTCGGAGTCGGGACTTCATATTTGGGTTGATAAATCGGTGGCTCTCTTCGTTTATCGTCGTTCCTCGAATTTGTAGCTATTCTTTTCAGGTATTTTCACTTTTCTCTTAATTTTCTGAACCGCCTTGGTTTTATTTATTTACAGCACACGCAATGCACATTAGCTCGGGGTAAGAAGCACGCCTCAACTAATGTGCTACAATGCAAAAAACATAAGATGCTAAATAAATATGCTACAAATAATCATAAAGGCAAGTAATATAATGTTAAATATTATCTAATGCATTTCGAATGAGGTCGTAATGGGAGGGGACATCCAAAGGGGAGGGGGTGAACAAAGAAATTCACAGCACCAACGCCATTAGGGCGGCTTTTACCATATAAGCAAGTGTGTCCAATCGAACGTATTCATCGTACTTCGGACCCCAGTCAGGCAGTCAGAATGCCAACTACGAAGTGAAGGTTTTTATTTCTCTTGACCAAGTGATCGCTTTTCCAACCCCTCCGCTTCTTCCATCCAGACCGACGGCGCACAAACAACGCATGTCGCGGGATTCGGTGTGCTGACATGCGCAACGCGTGGCATAGCCGTCGGAGCTTGGTGCGTGATACAGTGATGCTGAGCGGTTCACTAGCTCTTCCTCCACCAAATACGCGACGCCGAACAAGCTCATCGCTCACGCGATGCTCCCACTAGACATGAGCTAAGCTGCAGAGGCAGAGACAATCGAACGTACGTAGCCTCTTAATGTCTGTCGACCTGATGGGCCACGTTTCACAACCGTATAAGAGGATTGAACAGACGGCTGCATTATCAACTCTGCCCTTCAGGGCGAGTGATGTCGCGTCTGCGCCACAGGTGGCGGAGATTGGCAAAATCTCCTCGAGCTTTCGCTATACGGTTCGTAACCTCAGCTTCACATACGCTAATATAGCTGCCCAGGTACTTGAATTCCTGAGCGACTTCTAGTTGAACACCACCAGGAGTCAGCGCACGGGTGGGTCCCCGCCAATCTTGGAGAAGAACTTTTCATTACGATGGGGCAAAGCACAGCCCAAAACGATTGACAGCCAGTGCTAATCGGTCCAGTGCAGCCTCGCACGTTTGGGAGCTGTCACATATGAGGGCAATATCGTGCGCATAATCCAAGTCATTAAGTCACTCACTAGGAAGTAGCTCCACACTTTCTAGGTCGTGTCCAGCGAACGCTGTTTCCATGACTCCATCAATAGCGAAGTTAAAGAGGAAAGGTGACAGCGGGCAACCTTGTCTCACACCGCTGGAGATATTGAAGGGCGGCGACAGTTTGCCATAAACCCTCATTCTGCCCGAACTATGCGCGTACAGCGCTTTGGTAATGTTTACATATTTATTGGGCACACCTTTTCTCAGCAGACAGTCCCATAGGGCACATCGATCCACCGAATCGAAGGCACCTTTGATGTCTAGAAACACGACAACAGTGGGTCGCCAATAAATATAGCGGTGCTCCAAAGTAGACTCAAAATGAAGATGTGGTCGATTCAGCCCCGAACTGGACAAAACCCGACTTACTCCTCATTAATCTGGTATTCACAAGTGTCAGTTATTTGGTGGAGAACGACTGACGCAATCAAATTGTGATTAGACTGATCCCTCGATGATTATGGCATTCCGAACGGGAGTCTCCCTTTGAAAATTGAGCCTATGACGGAGCGGCCCAAGTCTGTCTGGCCAGTTTCCTGCTCCCAAAGTTTCACTATTAACACGTGTAACACGTGTAGTGTAAATCATCTACAAGAACAGGTCCCCCAAATTTGAAGAGGACTGGGGGAATTCTATCTGTCCCTGCGGTCTTATGCAATTTCAGCAGTCTGATCTCACGTCAGACTTCTGCGCGTGAGGACAGATCTAAGGAGACGGCCCATGGAGAGAGACACTAAGTGCCAGATTGGTAAACTTGCTTTGCAAAGTGTTCGGCCCAACGCTCCAAGCGTTTTGACAAGCTGTGGACCAGCTGCCCACTCTCGCGTATTGTCTCTCGCTAACACCAGGTCTTCTGCTGCCCGTTTCCCGTATCAGACGCGATAACTTACGATGATTACCAGCGGCGGCGGCTGTTTCCCTTTCCGATGCATGATGAGACCACCAGGCTTTACAGTCTCTCTTCAGCATAGCATGCAGTTTTGCGCATCTTCTTGTACTCGCTTACCGCCGGAATACGTCGGCGAGCATCCATAAGTTCCAGAGACTGCGTAGAGACCAAATGTCCAGGTTGACAATTTGATTTGCTACATAAAGACATTCCTGCTAATAGTAATCTCTGGTGAGTATGCGACCAGTGTTCAGTGGACGCTTACTCAGCCCAGATGCCAGCCTAGTTTGATACGCATTCAAAACACCTGGCTTAGCCAGTTGGCTGGTGTCATTGCGCTCACAGCAGCAAGCACCACAGTATCCCTACTTCTTCTGTAACCTAGGAGATCGTTAAGTTGGTGATAGAAATCATCTTTCACCGAATCAGTGCTGTAGTTTGTGGGGGCGTAGGCCGCAATGACAAACAGGCACTGTTTGTCTCCGCGCGGCTTCAAAGCCTGGAACGAGCCAGCCAATCTATCTAAGTACATCCGGCTGTTGACTGGGATCCAATCGATCAGAACAGCTTCAGTCTGGCGAGTTAAAACAATGTCGCCGCCAGTTTGACTGGCAAATGAAGCTGCATCTTCTTCGGACAGGCGCAATGGGAGTGTGCCGCCAGTGTGGCATGTGGTGGATCGCAGGGTAAGCACAGAGCTGGAATCTTTCAGGCGCGTTTCCGGTAAACAGCAAATATCGATCGATAGAGCTTTTAGTATTCAGGCAATTGCTGCCTGTTGGCCAATCTGTAGCAAAGTGCGCACATTGAGGCATGCCATTTTTAGGGAGTACCGATGGCTCCAAATCGAAGCAGATGAACTCACGTTGTCCTTTTAGCTGGAGCTGAACCCACCGACTGGACCGGAGCGACTCCCTGCGACTGTGTGTGAGTCGAATTTAGATGAACCAATACTGACCAAGGATGGAGCAGGGCCAAGAATTGGGGGGTTGAAAACGGGGGATGAAAGTGAAGTTGGAACGGGACGCTAAGGATGAAAAAACGCAAGAGGAGAAATAAGATGGCGGGAAGGCCTGAGCACCAGTATCCAAATCCCATCCACCCTGCTCGATGCAGCAGATAGGGTGCCGTTTATTATCCTCTGAGACGGCCGGAGTGTCCAGAAATTTTCATAATGTATTGCGTGAGCAGGATACTGTCAGGTTGCCCAGACCTAGACAGGAGAACGATTACGGTTCTCAGCTAAAGCCTTTGGTTCAAAAACCTGACCGCAAGGCAGCGGGTTTGGCGTTGGGCTACAAGGAGTCCGTTTTAAGGAATAAGGAGCCACCCTTATTGTAACTTCCAACCTGGAGAGCCAGGAGACTGAGTTTGTCTGGCCTCTTACCATGGACCAATCTGGTATGAGTGACTCTGAAGGTGCAGAAAGCACCACCCGAAATAGCTCAATAGATCACTGAGGCGCACAAACCATCGCATTACGTTAATGTCCAGTCTCGTCGCGATGGGTTTATTTATTTATTCCTTTTGTGGTCTCCCTCCTTTATTCCGCCGATGTCAAAACGACATCATCCACAGACGCCTTATTTGGAGCTCTGGTCCTATCCTTAACTGTGTGCTTCTGACAATCTGAGTTCCATGTCTTCGCTTGGTTTTGGTATTCGATCGTTCTATCTTATGCTTTACTTTACTGCCGTCCACTTTAATCACATCGTAAGTGGTTTTTTTCGTTTTTATGGGAAGTGAAAGGTATGAGAAGTACGCCGTTTCGCCGCACCGACGTCTCACTGAAACGCGCGATCACCACCAGTTGCACACACCCGGTGCAGCTTTCAACCTATGATGCTTGGGTTACAACGCAGGCGTCTCATTCCTTTGTCCACCTGTTGACTTCTCATGTTGTGCCAAACGATGCTTCAGTGTGAAAGTTGGTATGAACTTATTGACTAAGTCTCATGATGATGATGGTGGTGGGGTGGGTGCGACCGTGCGCCACATTTACTGTAATACTCAACTCTCTTGTCGAGTTGTGATCGTGGTGCTAGACTGACAAGATATCCCTGACGTTTTCATCGTGCTTGGCTACCTTCTGCTGTAAGGCTAGGTGCAATCACGAATTCTTTCGGATGCATACGTATGTTTGTCAGGCTGTGCATTGAATACTACACGGACCCAAGATACTGGAATTCCACCCTGACACGGCTAGGGTCATTATGAGAAACGGTTTGGTTTTTCGTGCTGAATTTGGTGCTCTGATAATGCTGTATGCAACGCCAAGATAAATTCGGCGGTCACGGTTCCACACACACACACAACTGCGGATCGTCAACGGAATCGAGCAGAATGTTTCTTAAACATAGAGCTATCGCAGATCGGTAGATCTTTTCGGTACTTACTACATGGTATACGCACCGTCGGACACTGATATTTCTCGCAATAATACCCACGTAGATTTTGCGTCTGTGTGACATTCAGGTTCAGCCATCGAACAGTCTGAGTGTTTCCAGTTGTCATGTGTTCTACTGGGCAATTATCGGAAAATTCCTGGTAACCACATTTTTCACAGAGCATCTGTGATAAGCATTTGAAAACCTGTCATGCAAACGGTATTGTTGCGATGCTCTTGCGGACGATTAAACCGCATTGAGGCCGTCACGGAACGCCTTTAATGGGTTTGCCCCTGACAGGGATAATTTGCTCACACTTGTACATTTCGAAATCGTCCTCTGAAACCGTATTTGTTGAACCGTTCCACGACACAGAAGATGGATCGCACATTCTTTTCATTTCGTGCATAGCGTTATTCCTCCGACGTGAGCACGACTTTGCAAACCCGAAGGCTTTTCATTCTGCTGTGAACCTGCGCTCTGGCCTCCGCCGTCGCCTAACGCGTCGACGAGCCTCTCCGGATCAGTGTGGGTGATATCAGGGAAACACCAGCGGTTTTGCTACGTGCAGGGGCGCCCTATGCTCGCGTATCATTAGCCTATAGTTTTTTCGTGTTGTCAGAATCGAAACTATCCGTTCCATCAAAACTGCCATTCCACTTTGCCCCTCGAAGATCGGTTGGCGCAAGGCATAAATGCTCTGCACGAATGTGCATCTGGTCCTAGGTCTAGTTCCCGTTGCTGCACACATTTGGGCCTCTTTGCAGTTTCCTCAACCCGCGCACAGCCGCTTGTGACATGACATAAAAGGATTAGTGCAAAGTGCTGGTCTGTTGTTTTTACTCACGTTTGCCCCTATGGGCCTCAAGATTTGCACGTTATCCATCGACGTCCGACATTTTGCAGAATCCCCTATGCTGACTTGCAGCTGCAATCCGTAATAATCTCAGTTTCGGCCATTGATGGGGATTCGTCACAGTCATCCTTCTTTCCCCATTCTATCACTGTCGTCATAATGTTAAATCACTGCGACACGCCTCAGACTTGATTCAGCCCCATTTGAATGTATCGTATCTGATAACTTATTTAACTCACAGTTTCATTTCCTTCAATCCAGTGTACTTGATCCGATTGCCCCTTTCGGGTACTTCACCAAACTGAAATCGATTTCCCAATCGTTGTGACGGATTTACCTCACTGAACTTGGTTAGTGATGAGGACGTTTACCAGCTATCTCTACTTCCTTGACTTTAATCCATGTTCGGTTATTTTTATCGGTCCAAGTTGTGTTTGTTTCACAATCGGTTCGGTACTCTAACAGAACCAACAGTGAGTCGAAGTAATTCGAAACGCTGCTTGCCGCGTTTGGCTGTTCAGTCGTTGGTTGGTTCGCAGAGCTTAAATGGTCGCATACATTCTGCTACCGCGCGAGGTGGTAATGCGCCATGAGCGATCTTGCTACACGAACGAATTGGGGTTTCCAATCGCGATCTTCACCCACATCAGCATTACAGTATTATAATGGCACTAACACTATGAGTTGATGTGAGCCGCGCTCACAGGTGCCAATGTAACAACATAGTCAACACCAATAACACATCACCGAACTGATGATTCCACCTCGCATGGTGGCGAAACGTATGCACGATGAATCAATTAAGCGCTAAACAACAATGAGTCTCGAATCGGCGTGGTAAGTGTTACCCACGGATATCTGTAGTGTGGCGTTATGACTTTCGAAGTTCGGGTCCTCTTTCGACCAGATGTGGGTGCAGTGTGTCGTGGATCACAACAGTGTTGGGAATGGCTGCAGCTGACATCTGTCCTCCACGCAGGGATGTTTCGTTTAGTCAAATCAAGCAACAGCCTTACGTGCCAAGGACGGATGAGTGCTTAACTGCAACTCACAATCTTTCAGCAAACCATGACATAAATACAAACCAAATAGGCGGATTCACAACGAGTGTACACAGTACTGTCACAAAACAAATCGGCTGGTTAATTAACAGATGACTCTGTTAAAGTCTAAAAAGATTACATCAGTCGAGCGATAACTGAAGTTCCGTAAGCTCTTATATGAGTATATATATATACATATATATATATATATATATATATAACATTAGTAGTCTAAGGATTAGACATGGAGCCGTCACAAAAAATGGATATAACTTAGCCATTTCATCTGGTGCCAAGTATTTACTTGTTGTGGACACTCGCAATTCCCAGGACGTGACGTCTAACGTCATCACTCCGAACTCGGTGTCGCCACCGCACATGAGATATTACCATCAAACAACCATTGTCGAAGGCAGAAGGTCGGCGCATTTGTCCCACGCGAATTGACAGACTCACTACCATGCAACAACACTAAACAAACGAAGACATTATAAACGCAACCCTTTACTAAGTGGGGAACATCCCGAAGACTTCACAAGTGTTTCAGGCTGACATACGCCGACCGCTCTTTGGAGATGCAGTGAGAGACTTCGTTGTCGATTGTGCCGCCAGCAGTAACGTAGCTCCCATTGTTGACGAAGCTACCTACCTGTTCAGGTTGTGCACCAGAAAGGGTGGGCGCGGGAGTGGGTGTGGGCCCCTCCTAGAGCAAAACTTTACACTTCTAGGGGGCGAATCAGTTGCCAACTTTAGACACTTTCAAGCATCAAAAAGCTCAAAATGTTTTGTTCACCCTGAGGATCGTCACCAAGTAAGACGATATCATCATTATAATCTAAATCGGCCGCTCGCTTACCCGGTAGAAACTATGGCCCAAACATTTTGGAAATCCACTAGTGCTATCGACAAGACGTTCTCGATTGCGATGTTGAAGAGGAGGAATGGGTTATAGGGCAACCCGGCTGCACATTGCTATTGACAGCGGATAGCGAGGGAGGCTTCTCGTAGACCCTCATTCTGTTAGAGATATGATGATAAACTGCACGTAGGATTGCGATATACTTCTCTGGCTCCCCATTCTTTAGCGAGGAACGCCATAAAACAGGTCGATCAACCGACTTAAACACCGCCCGTATGTATAGTAATACGACGATGGTGGGCCCGTGGTAAAGCTGGCGGTGTTCAAGGAGTTTGCGGAGCTTGAAGATTTGGTTCATGCATCCACGGCCTTGGCGGAAACCAGCTGGTTCTTCCCGGTATTAGGAACAGTACGAGAAGTACATTGGATGCCAATAGCCTGCGGGCAACCGAAATGACACTAATCTTTCTATGTTTGATATATTAAGTACGAGCACCTTAAAAATCGGGACAAGAACTGATTCGCCCCAAGGGGAAGTTACTTCTACATGCCAGAGTTTAAAAACAACAAGATCAGCTGCTTCATGAATACCATACCGCTGGATCTGAACAGGTTGAGTTTATCCTGATACCCGTTTTCTATTAAGGGATCGCTGAGCATCTACAGTTCCTGGGTAACGATGTCTTGTGTGCAAATACTGCGCGCTCGAAAGACAACAGTGCGCCCCAGACCTGGTTTCTACCGTGCTTGTACTGTACTGTAAAGGTTGGTGTACTGCCCATTTTTTATTGCATTTTCTATGAAGTGTCTACTTAACGATCCGCTGATGTTTCCGATGTAATCTATGTTCATAAACGGTAGGCAACTCTGCCGTTGAATTTTTGATTTTTATGTTCAACCCAACCCGGCACATCAATAATTACTTAATATGTAAACGTCAGAGTCCGATGAGTTTTACTGAAAACTAGTATTAACTCAACGCTTTTATTTCTGCTTTTAAATGGGAACGTTGCAATTGCTAAGGCTAAGCATCCCGGTGATGTGAGTTTTCAATGATAAGTGCAATCTCGTCCATATCCTGAACTCCATAGTAATCCGCTAACATGTACGTTACTCCTCTACTCGCTCACTTATATTGCATTTATTTTCATTATGATACCCGACCGACTGTGATTCCCTTACAGCCCTGGTGGTATCCGTTTTGGAAGCCCGGCTCTGACTACCCGCGGTCTCACGGAACCCGACTTTGTGTACGTCGCCTCTCTGATTCACGAGGCCATTCAGCTGACTCACAAAGTGAAACAGCTGACGACATCCAATTTACTCAAGGATTTCTTGGTGAGTTTGTGCGTACAGCATTGCTTTTATCATAAAACTGTTTTTCTCATTAATGGCACATAACCCAGTTTGATTGTTGCATGTGCGAGTATGTCTGCCCTGTTATGGCGGCAGATATTTCTGGCGTGGCGCGAAAGTGTTCACTGCAACAAGCACAGTGCGTCGACATTTACACTGTGAATAGTTTTACAACTGTCTTGAAGGATTTTGAAGATGATTTTTCGACATTTCAACCTTTATCTTCCTGACGCATGTCAGCTCCATGAGGCTAGTGTTTGAACCGCAGTCCATACTGCACTGGTGCGATAGCTTCCCAGAGCCACCTCTAATGTTAGTTGATCAGTGACATTCTACTCTAGTTAGCAAAGCGTAAGGTAGAAACATCTCCCCACAGTGTAACTGCCGCGAGCGCTTGTGTCATCATCCGCATTGTTATGATAACGTTACATTCGCACTGTTGTGTTACCACACGTTACGGGAGAACACACTAACGAGGTGTGAGAAGGGCAACAGGGGTATACGAATTTGAGGCAAACATTAAGATGGAACACTGACCGTCGGCTGCCATGGGATTTCGGCTTCTTTGCGGATTTCACTGTTCCGTATCATTAGTTACTGAAACTAGATGACGCGTCTAGCGTTGTTTTTTTAGAGTCACGCATTCGTTCGCCTGGTCGAATTATGGAGTCGACTGCAAACTAATATTGCAGTATTGGTCAAACGAGCAGATAAGGTAGTGCGCGATTGTTTACAAGTTAGAAGGGTTAAAACGGGCGACTAGTGTTCACGACGTATTGATCCAGAGTGGTAGTGGGAAGCTATCATACAGTAATGACTTGGAATGGAGGAATGCGACGCATGAGAAGCCACTGATCCAGGAATCACACACGAAAGGGTCACTGGAGTGGTAGAGAGCAGAAGGGAGAATCCCGTGTCAGTTCCTTCGCTTCCCGTTCAAAGCAGAGATTCCACGTATCATTGCGGTACGTCGTTCATAGGGGACCGTCACGATCGCAGCGAAAACAACATAGTCTTTGCTTGCTCAGCAGCTAGAAATCCAACAGTCGTTTGAAACTTACTCTGTCCGCTGACGACTGGCTCCGGTACATTGTTCCAGTCCATCGCCACACGGGTAGACAAAGTGACATCGGGATGGACTCGGAGCCTCTTCGGCTTATACAGTTTCCAGGAGTGATCTCTTGTCGAACTATCAACTCTCAGTTGAAAATCTCCTTTAGTTCGTTTCCCATCATCCCTCCCAGAATGCGTCTGGCGTAAATCAGGTCACAACGACAGTGACAATAATCCAAGGAAAACATGTTAATCGCTCGAACTCGCTTGTCATAACATAAATTCCGGAACGCAGAGATCGATTTCGACCCTCGTCGTTGCACCCTCTCTATGAGAACATGTTCGGTCTATGTTGGAGGATAGACGCGGGTGGGCTGTATTCGAGGTTGGGACGCACATGGGAAATGAAGATGAGTCTAAAGACCTCAGAAGTCATACGGGAATAAGACCTCCTTATGGCACAGCGCATCCTAGTAGCAGCCGCTACCCTCCTCACGGTGTCCTGCGTTGTGCGCAAATCAGAAGACACAAGCACACCAAGGTCCTTCTCACAAGCAGCGTCCCTGAGCAAGAAGCCATCAATTTGTTAAACACCGAAGGGGTACGGATCACCGATACGGAGGACTGAACACTTTTCGTCATTGATGGGCAATTGCCACTCCAGTGACCAGCTGTGCAGCCGGTCAACGGTCGCTTGCAATCGGTTATCATCCTCCAGTTCGGACATTTCTAGCCATAGCTTTAGGTCGTCAACATATAGCAAACAATCCGTACGGAGCTGTGATGGAAGGTCGTTGATGAATAATTTGAATAAGTCAGGACCGAGCCGTGTGGAACTCCACTGGTCATGGGAACGGTCTCGGAGTAGGTTTCATTCACTTCCTGTGCTCTGTGTTAAATTGGACGTCTCCCTTCACATTCTTGTGCCACGTCTTCGGAAGTACGCTTAATCGATTCGGCTCACTGAGCTCTATCCAACGGCGTTTATGTTTTTGTAGTAAGTCCAACGACACGCTGGTACACCACAAACAAAGTCTTCGGAAGTCTATTCCCTAAGGCCAGCTTGAATAACTTTGCTTATTTGAGTTTCATCAGTACCTTTGGGATACCATTCGACAGATCTTCTTTAAGGCTGTCAGACAATATATAACTTAGTATTGTGCACCAGAGTATACCATAGGTACAAGCATTTTTGTCATCTCACCTTGCCACCATATTTTTACGTGCATTTCACTGCACAAAGCCTATGTGATTTTGCCTAGTCGTGCGCCCAGTGACGCACCACCCAAACGCGCTGACTGGAGCAGACAACTGAGGCAGCCCAAACGGCGTGACCAGCGCAACCTAAAAGCGTATACTGACCATTGATCCATGGGACGGAGACGTTTGTCAACTGGGAATCCAGTGAGCAAGCGGGGAACTGAAATCCGCTCGAAAATCACGTGTTCGTTCTGTGCCAATTCCTATGACTCGACAAATGTGAACATTACACTTAACGGAGGTAACAGCGTATCGACAGATAGCTTGTGGTTTTGTGACATATGTTCAGACAGTCCGATAATTAAAATTGTTCAAAAACTTACGACAAGGGGTGAAGCATTGACTGTTACGTCTGCAGACCTAAAGGAACTGGTCGTGGCATTGGGAGGGAAAATCTCAGAACTCGAGTTGCAGATTAGTGCATTACGTATCCCAAATCCCCGGCATGTTAAAAGGCAAAAGCTCTCTAGCAACAGTGCTACCCAGTCCAGCGAAAGGCAAACACCGTTAGTGAAAAACAGCAGTGAAAACAGGCCGCTTGGACGGTACCCCTAGTCTCACGTAATGCGCCAAAGCATGCAGAGTTACGCACAAATTGCACGATCACCTCCGTCAGTAGCTGGGCAACAAAAATTGACCCCTACAGATAGTGCAACTAACGGCGTTGCACGTAAAAATTCTTGCTGTAGCCTTGGCCTATCATCCAAGGAAGACAAGCCAGATACCCCCACTCGACAAACCTACGCTCACAAGGAACTGCAGAACAAACAATTACTACGCAACCAAAAGGCGATGACAGTAATATGCTCAAACGTCCCAGAACCCACTAGCGAATCGCTAAAAGGTAGACAAGCCGAGGACCAAAACCGGTGGGCTGAAATAACCTGCGCACTCGGACTGAAAGTTCTCCCAACTAGTCTTACACGCCTTTCACGAAATCCATCATCTCCACACTTAGGGGAACCTCGGTTACTGCGAGTAACGTTTGGCAACACGCGTGACCTGGAAGATGTTCTCTTAGCAAGCCAAATGCTAATGAACTCTTCTGTCAGTGCCCGCATTTTTCTTGACAGGCCATGGGCAGAAAGACAGAAGCATAAATCCAACCCTAGTTCGTCACGTCAAAATAAGATGAAGAAAGTGGTACTTGTTCATGGTGTGCCAGAATTGAAGCATGACGACAGCGGTGAACGACAGAAGCACGACATCGAAGAATGGCGGTACATCGCAGAACTATACGACATGCAGAATGTCGTGGCTTTGACGTCACCCGTCTAACTGCTTCCACAAACTACCAAGGTAGCGGGCCACGAATTTTGAAAGTTACCTTGGCTGCGCCCGAAATGGTATCAGTGGCAATCCAAGCATGGCTTGACAACAGGAAACTTGGGCCAACAGAAGTACGGTTAAGACCATTCCTTCAATTAGTACAGACCTCAGATACAGATGAGCCAGCCTCAATTGTGCCGGTCACTCACAACGAACCGAGCTCTTGATGCGTCAACAAATACAATACTGCTACACCAACACTTAGGGGTTGTACTCTAAGCTCTCGGAGTTGCGTCACCGACATGAAACAACAACTTGGGACCTCATAGCAGTCACTGAAACTTGGCTCTCAAACGACATACTTGATCCGGAGATGGAACTCAGTGAGATGTCAATCATTCGAAATGATCGTCCATCTCGCGGGGGCGGTGTTGCTCTCTACTATCGAGATTATTTGAAATGTGAGGCTTTTACTGAAAATTCCCTTGTTATTCCCGACGCACCATTTTGCCGACTGCACCTAGCAGATTGAGATGCTGATTCACAGAAGAAGAGTGATGCTTGCCTCTTAGCAGTTATTTATAGACCTCCGAACTCATCAGCAGACAGCGATAAAATTCTGTTAAATGCCCTCCGCTATGCTGTTTCACAAAAGTACACTCACTATCTTATAATGGGTGACTTTAATGTTCCTTCAATAGCATCAATGTCCCCTAATGGACCATCATTTAAATCGAAACTCCTCGAATTCATGGATATGGCCGTTTTGTAGAACCATGTGCATCGACCAAGCAGACATCGCGGTTCAAACAAGCCATCACCCCTTACTTAATCCTGACTAATGAAGAGTTGATGGTTGAGTCAGTAGCATACGATCCTCCACTGGGCCGTAGCGACCATTCAGTCCTAACATTTGGTTATGTATGTTATGCCAGTATTGTTGCTAAAGAAAGAGACTCAACGCACTATTACGGACTATTATAAGCTGCGCAGCTTAGCAGCAACCGTTGACTGGGACCTACAGACGCACAGCTCAGCGAATGACGCGTGGAATGAATTGTATCGGAGGTTGTACCATTACGAGCATCGCGCCGGACCAATACGTGGATCTGGAGCAGAACACGTAAATGAATCAACAGAAGAGATACAATCTGGAGGCAACATTTGCTAAGCCCATGTGATATCACATGGCAGGATTACATAGTCATCAGAAACTACTGCACGTCACTCATTAAAGTCGATAAGTACGGATGGCAGGATAATATGGTGCTAAAATTTACGAGTAACACCAAACTGTTATACAGATTTGTGAAGGGCAAAAGAAAGGTTAAGCTCGGAATACCACCATTCAGGGCGGCCAGTGGCCTAACAACTACTGCTGTGGATGCAGCGAACGCTCT